GTTTTCACCCGGAATCGTCTACCACAAAACAATCGGACATCATTGGTTTCAAACTCACTCGGCGGCCATATCTTGCTAGGCAGCGTTTTCGTACAATCACTGTTGCCACGGAAATCGTTCGAATGCGCACAAAGTAACGGAAGGTTAGGCAATAAGCAGTAAGCGCTGATATAGTTAATAACCGTTTGATATTTACGAACACCGTGCAGATGATTGTCGTATTGTCTTTGAGCATAATTATTGTTCATTAACGCGACCAACGCGGATCAAATGTCGTGGATCCTACACCGTGCGTCCCAACGACGAAGTCAAAGCTACGGCACGACAATCGAAATTCGTTCTGTTCGTTTTACTCACCGCGTACGATAATGTTTATTATGATTTCCGACCACTGCTATGTCCTCTGTGATCGTTTCACGTTTGTCTACCGTAGAATAATGATTGGCTCGTGGATATCGCGGAAACAATCGATTCTGCGGAGTGCTAACGCAAATGCATTAACCATGAGCTGCGCGACGACGACGATGACGATGATGATGATGATAGGCTATACGATACGTGTGTGTCGTTTCGGCAAGGACGTGAACGTATTTTTAAACTAGTTAGACAATAAGTTGGTGTCCGGGCTTGCGACGATACTAATAGTTTCCTTTATAAATCTGAAAACTTTTAAGACCGTTCGTTCGTACGATACGTTTCGACTGGAGTGCTGTGCAAACAGCACACAGTGGGCTGATATAAAATTGCGAAGGAGCAAGAAAAATAAAAACAAACCCACCAAGTTTTTAGGCGGACTCGTACGAGATTTATCGATCAAAAGGCTTTCCAATTAATATCAGTTTGCTGTTCAGAAACACTCCGTAGTGAATCTTGTTCTTAGCTGTCCGCATGTGCGGCGTGAGTGTGTGTTCGTATTCGCGTGTGTGTGCGCGTGCGCGTGCGTGTGCGTGCGTGCGTGTGCGTGCGTGTGTGTGTGTGTGCGTGCGTGTGTGTGTGTGTGTGTGTGTGTATGTGTGTGTGTGTGTGTGTTTGCGCGTGCGCGTGTGAGTATATCCGGTCGAGTGTGAACATATCTTAATTACTTCTGTCGTCCGGTTACACATTGCATCTTTAACGACCGATTAGGCATGGATGTTCAGCAACAACAATAATTATTCAACAGAACTGTCGTACGCTTCTACTACTATTATTCAAACGATGAAAATTTATGGAAACTTGTTAGGGGATGTGTTTTCGAAAAATCGGGTTTCACGAAATTTCAACGGGATAATTAAAGGAGTGAATAAATATCGCATATAATCACACTTGACATCTATAATCAATCTAACAAAGTTATATTAAATAGGTACCTACATAAAAATAACATTGAAAGTAAGTTTTGTCTCTTTGATAACATTACATAGAACGAGGGAACACAGAGATCTTAGTCAAAACAATTGAATCAATATCGGAATAAAATAACTGTATCTAATTAACCTTGGATTACAGTGGTAGAAAAAATATTTCATTAATAACAACTGGTTGAGAATAATAAAGTGATGACCAAAAAAAATTTTTTTTTTTTTTTAAGCTATGTAACAAGAAGGACAAATAATAAATAAATATTGAACACTTCGTAAGGTATTAAAAAGGTAAATATATTTTAATGGAATTTAAGTTCCTACGTGTTAATATTTCAGTTTATTTTTGAAATTATTAAATGATTTAACACTGAATATACAGTATGGATGTTGAATCAGATGTTTTATGCAGAACGCATTATTTTCTTAGTGATTCGTGTCATTTATAACTTGTCAGTGACGTTAAGAGTTTTTATAAGTACAAAGTACTCGACGTTGAAGAAACTTGCACTAAATTAATGATAAGTGGTGATGGTACCATAACTCTCGCATTGTATTTGCAATTTTAGTTATTAGTGAACCATACCTAAAGCTGTATAGTAAACATAAATATTTTAGATTCGTAAAATTTACCTATCCGTATTTCAGAAAACATTTATGAATTCATATCAATGCCAACCGTCAGTCGTAATCTAACCGTTCAAAACAAACGAATTACCTTAATGCTATGATTAAGTTAATTAAATTAAAGTCACAGTAAAACTGACGTAAATTTATGTCTAAGGTCCTCGCCACTTGGGGATACTCAAAGGAAACTGTAAACACCTAGATACTAGGAGACTGAGACTAACTTTTTGTCCCTTTGCATTATGAACTATTAAAGTTTGTGGTTAATTAAAACGTGTTTACTGAAGAAAAACAAAACCAATTTTTCGACAGAACTTTTTTAAGAGACCATTTATTGACAAAAAACTATATGTTTATCTTGTTTTCTCTGCGAAAAAGTTGCGACAAATATCTGATGAACCTAAAGAGACTTATATGAAACAAGATTGGACATTGGAAAAATTTGTAAAAGATAGTTTAATCGAAACCAAAGTTGAAATACATTCAACATATAGAGATAAATAATGAGAAAAGTTTATGAAGGTAAAACGTATAGTTTATTTTACACTTTAAATGTAAGTCAGTTGGAGTAATATTATGGTTTGGTTTAATAATTAATGCATATGTTGTATAATCCGTTTGGTCGGACATCAAATCTGTAAAAGCACAAGAATCAGTTTAACAAAAAAAATGCATACAATCATTATAAATAGTATTTATAATCAATGGTTAAACGTGCTCGCCATTACTCGTATTCTTAGCTGAAACAGGATTAAGGTCCGTGTAATTAAAAATGCGCGTGCATTCTATACGTTAGAACGAATAAACATTTTTTTTTTTTTTTGGGAGAGCTGAGGTATTTTCTCTGACCAAAATTCCCCAATTCAGGCTATCAAAAACAAGAGTTAGAAATTTAGTAGACAGTTTTAATTGTTGTTATAATTTTTAATGTTTTCACAAAATCAATAATGAAATAAAATAGATAATAATAATAATAAAACAAATTATATTCAATTTGAATTTCTTTCTTTGCAACTGTGGGCAAATTTGTCTAATAAAATGTTGTCGGGTATGTCAATGTCTCTATGAATAGCTAAAAGTGCAAGTCCCACTAGCCTAAATTTTAAAGTTGTATTTCTAAAATACGTTTTGGTTTTATTCAACGTTGAAAGCTGCGTTCAGCTATAGCGATAGATACTGGTATTATAGTTAGTATTTTTATTAATCCATACATTTTTAGGTACATGCAATTATGAGACATAGACTTTATATTAGTTGTTAATCTTAAGTTGTTTTCAATATTATTCCATCTAGCTAGCCAAATTTTGTACTCAGTTTTTATAATTTAATTTAACCAAGGTAAATCGTTTTCGTAAGACTCAATAGAAAAATAAAATATTAAAATAACCAACGTTACCCATGTTCAAAAAGTTTCCGAACTCTGTTCTTAAGAGTAAACAAATTATAGCATCGTAAATTGTATATGGTTAAAATCAAATGGAGATAAACTGCTATTTATTTAAATGAACCAGGAATGTATATTATGGATAGTAAATACAAGGGTAACGGATATTAAATATAAGTAAGTCGATAAAAAATATACGTGCATTGATAAAACCGGATCTTAATATATTTTTAATATGTGTGGTCTGGTTGCGACCCCCAATTAAAATGGTATTAAAAAAATGTACGCATAAAAAAAATAACCGACAGGATTAATAGATCGGGAAAAGCAGTACTCTAAATTATACAAAAAAATATAAGTGCAAGACATGCGATGACATCATAAAAATTATAATATTTAAATATACATGTATACTGATATATAATAGATAATATACTGTTTGATAGGGTTCGGAAGATTATGAAATTGCATATTTTTTTCTATTGATCCAATTTAATGCGGACCTGGATACAAATTCGATTCATGTTCTACTGAATCAAATAATATTTTTATTTTGCATATTTTATGGTTTTATATTTTAATTGTATGATTTTAACATTTTAGTGCTAAAAATGCATATTTCAGTACATTTTTGAACTTTTATACAAACAATTTAAATCAAGGGAAAGATACAAGTAAATGATAAATATGGATTATTATGGATTATTGTGTTCGTTCCAAATTATTTTACGTTAAGTTTTGATGAAATTTAAATAATCATTGTATCGCAGTGCTACGCTCATATTGTAAATTAGTATATACCTAATATTACAAAAATATAAAATATAAAATTTTTAACTTATAACAATTAAATTATAAAATAAAATTAATTTTTAATTTTTAATGCAAAAGGTAAAATATTTAATCTTATTGTGTACATTTTAGAGTTTTTTGTACATATTTTAATCGCGTATTTGGTAATTTATCAGTGCGTAAATTGGTACATATTGCAGTAATGTTAAAAGCATAAGCGTGCAAACGCTATTGATCGGTTAGAGTCTATCTAACCGACGAGCGATCAGTTTTCCACGTGTTCCGGAACATTCTAAGATATGACAAGATTAACAAGACGTGACGAACGAAATAATAGTAGCTCGTTATCACAAGCAGCATAGGGTGTGTGCAATGTTTTGTCGATAAAAATAAAAAATAAAACGAAAAATGTTATTTTCGAGCAACCAATAATACTATACGCATAACACGGGTGCTTGCGATACACTCACCGTTCTTGTACATCACGGTATCACGGCAGTTACGTGTAGCCGCGCGTAGAAACCCTCGGCCGATGTTTAAAGTTTATCTCCGCTTCTGTGTCGTGACAATACGAACTCGATCGATAACCTAGTCTTATTACATGTTATCGCCTTTAATTGCGGCCTACGGGCTACAGATGGCTAATGTTATGGGTGAAATAAGTTTTACCCAGGTTAGGTTAGGTTAGGCTTTTGCCCTAAGGTTAGGTTAGTTAGTTTTGCCCAAGGCCTCGCAATAGGTTACGCCGGCTCTGGCGGTCCAGCCGAACCGTGTACCGCGCGCGGTTGTGCAGGCCCGATGACCGCGGATACCACGACGAGCCGTTGTTCACGTGTGTGTGTGTTTTCTGTGCGCAGGAGGTACCCGTCCAGGTGGCGTTACAGCGCAAGAAGAGTTTGCCGGACGTGCAGGTACCGCCGAACGCGCCGGCGTCCATCACCCGGGAAGAAGTGTCCGTGTTGAGTTCGGCCCGGAGGGAAGAGATGCGCCGGGTCGAGGAGGAGAACGAACGGCTCCGGGCCAACCCGCTGCTCTATCTAGTCAGTCCGCACATGAAGGTACGTATTCCCCGGCCGTCAGCGATAGTTATGCAACGATTCCGTGGGAAGATTCCGGGTTAGAAAAAGTGAGAAAATCGTTGCACTTTAACGTTTGATTTTCGAAGGGAAACAGGTCGTTGGTTTTCTTATCATGTCTCCAACTAGTTCGTTCGACTGCCGAAATCGGAATGGTCGAACAAACAGTTGTCGGCGAAAAAATATAATAATTATAGTTGGTTAATAACATTTAGCAGAACCATGTAATCGAAGCGTATTTGACTATCCCGTCGATGTGCCTCCACCGGTAGGTTTCTTAAATCCGTGCTTCCGGTTCACGTTAAGCGTATTGTTCAAATCTTAAAAAAGTAACGTGTACATTTCTAACGAACAGAATTGAGAGCATCAATAATAGTGTATTCGAGAACAAGTCTACAATTTGACCGTAATCGAGTGTGCTTCCTTGTTAATATTCGACAAATCCGACATCGTACATCGATTTCGTTCAGAAGTATAAAAAAATATTTAAAATTTCGTATACCAACAGACAATCAGACTCAACAAGAAATTATGTGCTTGTCATCTAACACGGTATACCGGGAAGTAAAATAAAATTTCAGTATCGATTTAATATGTTAAAAATGAATATATAAATAATAACTATTACGCATAATGTTGTCGATCGTGTACGTAATTGACTTTACATTTAGTATACTGCGACGTAGTACTCAGTTTACATTTGAATATTTGTATGATTTGAATCCAACGACTGTGTCATCCGTTTCAAACTGTATGACTTTTAAATTTAGTTTAAAAAAAAAAGTTAAAGAAACTCGGTAAAAGTGAGGGTGAATATTTGAAAACAAAGGGTGCAGTTCGTTCCCAACGTTTTCGATGTACGATAAAAATAATATGATTTCGAAGTGACGAGTGCGCAGTGATTACGGCCCTCGGTGGTGACGCATTTGACGTTTACAGTCCGGTGACGACATATTACCGAACCCATTCACCATGAAAAACGTCGATTATCGATTCAGAAATATTAACATCGAAATGGTTTTTACAAGTGACGTGATCGGTGCGGGCGATTTGTCTGGATGTGATATTTTGCGGTTTTTGATTTACATGTTTAATAATATTTCTGATGAGACGTGTGCGCGTAGAAACGGATATTGCCGTGCGCATAGAATCGACTGTTACGCGTATTTTCCGTTGCGACGGTCAAGCGTTTCCTGTACAGTGTTTTAAAGTTTCGACTTCTGTGTACACATTTAGTTTGTACGCAAACCATTTGGTCTGGTATCAAAACAAGATTTCAGACGATTTAGTGAGCAATAGTTACCCCTGAATGTGTGACAAATATTTTAGTCTCGATTGTTTCCATTGTTAAAAACAGCCGAAATGCGCCTAGCATAAAATCTAGTAGGCACCTAGTAATTATACTTTTTTTTTACACGATTGTGTAATTCTTTAGAAATAAATGATGAAAATGCCCGTGAAACGTACAAAACATCGAAAAACTGCTACTACATTATATTTAAATAAAGCAAAAAAAAAAAAAAAGAATAAACGGAGTTGAGTTTAAAACACGTTATAATTGTTAATGTTTTATTATCATTATTATTATTATTATTATTATTATTTTATTATTATTAAAATTCTAAATCGTACTTATGTAACTAAGTTTACTCTCGTAAATATCATTCGAGTTCGCTGCTCATAATAATTTCCTTTTTCATTTTTACTACCATCACATTAGTGGCATACTTTCGGGAAAAAATATTCGTGAGAATTCGAAGGATTCGAAAAGTTTTCGGTGTTGATTATTACATATCAATGAATGATATTATTGAAAAATTTTCAAAAATTAAAACCAGAAATTATACTTAGCTTAAAAACGCATATTAAATTGTATGTATTTTTAAAATATTAAATATAAATAACTGAGCTTTCCTACTAATTAACTAAAATATTAAATTAATTAAATGAACATGTCTCGTTTTATATATTGTTTAAATATTTTACACAAACGTAAAAGGTAAGTTTTTTATGACTCCAATTTTGTATTTATTGATTATAATTGATTATAATGCGATAACCGTAGTTTTTTAGAAGTTTTATATTTTAAGAGTAGGCGCAAAATATATTTCGTCCCCTCAACCCATCAACTATAAATAAGGGTTGGATTGGCGTTTGTACCTAGATGATGCACTGATATAACGCGGCCAACATTAAAACTTTATCTAGACCAGAGAACTATGTTGATGTTTCTTTGGAAAAAATAGCAAATAAATAAGTTAATATATAAGAAAACAGTTGAAGAGATCGATTACGTTCACTAAAATCATATTTTTTATTATTCAAATTAAATTACAAATTCGTGTTTTTTATGGTGTTTGACTGGCAAACTCCTTGTTCGAGATTGTCAGTCGTATTCCAAAAATTTTTTTCAATTACACCAATTTTTAGATACCATTGGTTCTTATATATTTTACTAAAACAAAAACATTGACATCGTAAAAATTAGTTTGTAATAAAAAGTATAGTAGTTTTCATTATTTTAATTAATCACGGGAAAAAAACTATTATTACGATCCGATACACTAAGCTTGATATAAAAAAAATAACTGAAAATTAAAAACCGTTCCATTCGTTCTATAAATAAAAGCTTTTAAATAATAAAAAAAAAAAAATATCCAAATTGTATTAAATATTGTAAACTTTTTGATCCTAATATACATTTTATTAATTTAATTACGCATCGAAATGATGACTGTAATATTTTTTTATCAACAATTTATGTTCAAATTAGAACCTTTTATTGTTATTGCTGTTAAACAAAACTTTTTAATTAAAATAATTTTATTATCATTAAGTGAGTTATTTATCGTTAAAAAAAAAAAAATAATGGCATAACCTGTGACCAAACGATTTGTCAATTGTACTGATCCAAAACTTTTTACCATTTCTCCGATTAGTATTCAGCGAGTTTAATATTATCGAGAGGAATAATTGGGAATCGGTTACAAATTCTAATAATATGGTTAAGTTTTACGACTGTTCAAATACAGACGCGTACAAAGTGATACTATATTATGAAGTTTCGAAGAGAATTTTTACTTAGCGATTTTTTTTTTTATGTAACCACCCGTACGTGGAAAAAACCACCCTATTACGTAACCACAACAATATCGTAAGTGTTTTTACATATACTATTCTGGTGACGTGTAAATATCGTGTTCGGCGTGTAGGATTCTTACAGGGATCCCGTCGCGGGAAAAGGTGTTGTTGAAAAAAAAATTCGAAGCGTTAAGCTCGTTCTACTTTTTCACGCATATTATATAAATATATGTATACGTATACATCGCATTACAATGTCGATGGGTTAGAAGAGGACCTTTTATACGGTATAATAACAACTCTATAATACGTCTCGCTGCGTTGACTCCCCTTTCTTATAACACGTGGGTCCCAGGGACTTAGGTCCACAGTGGTAAAAGGCACTTTCGATGCGTATATGTATATAGGTTTAAGCGTACGCGAGAAAATGGAATAAGGATTCCGTATGATAGTCGTACTCAAAGGATCCCATTAGGATTCGAGAACAACTTTCAGAACACGCGAAAAAAAAAAATATATTAATAATAGAGAAATATCGGAACAACGTATGGAATCTTGACGAAAATTCGTACCCACGTTAAGTTCACGCCAATTTTGGTTTCAATGCAATAAAATGGTGAGTGGTAATTAATGATTCGACATTGAAGGTTATACGATTATTTGTATTTTCGTCATGTCTTAGATCAATACTAAAACCAACCGAAGTTTTAGTAATGGGGTTCAATATTTGATGTTATCGTGTTAAACTCCTTTCCTAAAAACTTTCGGGGTTTCTCTTACTTTCGTAGGACTTGGATGTTTTTCAGCGTTCAATAGTGTGTTAAATACTTGAACAAAACAATATTTAAACTTTGTACATTTTACGATGGTTGATCACAATAATCGGAATTATTTACACGTAGTAGTATACATCCGGTCATACTTTCATTTTTCGACGACATTAATAACCATAGGACAAAATTTTAAGCCCCTCAGACTGAAACTGCAACAATAATATCAAACGCAGTTAACTAAATCAAATAAGAAATTCATTAGTTATTGGTTAAACTGCATAAAAGAGAGACGTAACTCATTAATTTCATTTTATACCTGCATATTTTTTAACATTAATTTAACTGTATTGTTTTTTTTTTTTTTTTTATTAAGAGCCGATTTATAATCTGTGTACATTAATTATATAATTATTATAATACGTACATTTGATATTTAAAAAATAATTGAAATAACAAGAATAACGTGCTAAGGAAATACCTCACTAATAACACATTTTTTTTTCTAATTTAATAGATCTCTACACTATTTTCGTTTTAATCTGCGCGCCGGATTTTCACGAGTAAGATGGTGCACATATGTAATATCATAGTATTGCTACGTATGCTTAAATGTTAATAAAAACATCTGAGCATTGTTTTGGTCAGTTCGTTGGTAGGACATATTATTTTGAAGTCCTCGTGTAAGGAATGGTTAGAAACGTACCACGGAGCATTGGTTAATATCTTCGGTAAAATCGATTATACGATTTACAACAGAAAAATAATATTAATCGGTACGTTATGAACGTAATTTAAACTTCTAGTTCAAACGTCACTTGAATATCGTCAACAAAGTCCTTTCATAAAATGATACGAGAATATTTCTACGATATTGTCACCGTTGTAGTGCAAAGCGGTGCCAAGTACGTATCGATTTATACTTGGAGCGTATAGTTCTGATGTTTTTGTTATTTTTTGTTCGTTTCAAATATATTATAGTCGTTCGAGTATATAACGGGAAACGCAAGACATTGTGCAGATGCAAAATCCTTAACAGTTCTTTATTTTATACAGCGGAGTGCTCCATTTAGCTACTCGAGTACACGAATATCATAAAAGAGAGACGGTTATTGTTTTCATTCTGTAGAT